AGTCTAGAAAATTCTATGGAGACAAAAAGAAAACATTGAATAATAATAGAAATAGTAATTGAAAAAGTAAATAACCGGTGGTATGTTATCCCACTGGTTTCTCAATTCTGTTTTCACCCCAATTTTTACAAGCTATAACGCTACAACCTGGCATTGTCATTTTTTACGAGATATCTTGTGTGTACAACGATCGCCATGTCACAGTGGCGATGTTTGATGGCGTGTCACTTCAATACGCGCAATTTGAGCCTATCGAGGCGACACGAACCACGCTCTCATACCAAAACTCCCCTTTTTTCCTATATAATCTATGTTCGAAATCATAAATCTAGCACAGGCAGTGTCCCCAGGCATGATAGACATGAGTTTGTAAGAGAATACTAGGTTATGGCCTCTTGTTATTCCCCTGTTTTTTTCTTTTTGGGTTGTCGTTGAATTTTATTCTTGTGTGCAAGACTGTATGTAATTCTCTGAGTGTTACACACGCGCGACTTTAAGCAGCGATGCAAACGCGCGACTGCATCGATACAAACGCGAGATTGCATCGCTATAATTGTGATTTATAAGCGAATGCATCAATGCACACGCGTGTCTGCATCGATGCAATTGCGCGTCTGCATCGATGCAATCGCCTACAAATCGCAAGTGTAGCGATACAATAGCGCGTTTCACGTACACACGTTTGCACCGCTGCGCTGCTAAAAATCGCCGTATGTAATCACTGTAATACTCACTCTACTGCTTCTTCGTTTGGCACTGGTGTACGTAATGGGAGAGAAACACGTCAGATTGTCGAAGTCCAAAAGTACCTGGAAATAAAATTATAATATAAGTATCATTGGATCTCCATTGAGCCACAATTCTCAAGTCACATTTGAAAGTAAAAATTATTCCAATATACAAAAATTATTTGACAGGATTATGAAGTCTCGAACATACATAAGTAAAAATAAAGTACACATATTTATGAAGTAAGGGATTGCTGGACGATCGTGAGTTACAAGGTCGAGCGCCAGCCAGGTCTTGTATTATATACGAATCAAGCAATCCCCGTTCCCACCGCGCGCGTTTATTTAGCGCGTTTCTCAAACAATTTAAGGAATTAATAAGACTATCTGGAACAAAAGTTGTTGTTTATGATGTTAGTAATATAGTACTGCGCGCTTGTTAGTATTTTAAAAATAATCCTGTACGTACGAATTAGTACCGAAAGAATACTTTATCACCTGGTACTTGTCTTGAAACACAGCCCTTAGAGCTTTGTCGACCATCAATAAATCTCCCCTTGAGCTGACGGTGATCTTGACGACTCGCTCTTCACCGAAAATGTCCAGGTTCGAGGGTAGCACTTGAGGGGTGGATGTGGTCGTTGCTGATATTGTCACTGCCACTGTTTCTCTGAAATATTTAACATAATAATAAACCCTGCCACACCGAAACGCGCGGGGCAGCCGCGCGTCGGCCGTGCGTTTCAGTGTGGCAGGGTTCATATAAACTCGTACATTACAAAAACTCCCGCGTTCGGAACGTTTCCGCGGCCGCCTCTGTGTGGCCAGAGCATAACGCTTAACTACTTCAAGATATTTCTTTTATTTTTTTTTTATAATATCGAGTGATGTGACGAACAGAACAAGTCTTGCGCCGGATGTTAAAGCTCCACTCAGAGCTTTAAATCGCAAAGATCTGAGGCGCACTGCCACTGCGCCCGTCACCTTGAGACATAAGTTGACAAGTCCCATGTGCCTGTAATTTCACCAGCACACTTACCCTTCAAAACAGGAAACACATCACAGTAATGATGACATTACAGTTTGGCAGCAGAAATAAATATGGTGGCAGTACTTACCTGGACAAACTCTTTCACTACTGCTACTAAAATAAAACATGTTACGTTGGTATAGTTTCGGCATGCTTTGACGGCCACAACAAACGGTAATAAAAGATTTGTTTAAATATAGCATTTGCTTATGTAACATTTAATTAAGGTAACATTCGATGAAATGTAACATTTGTTTGAAAGTCGGATATGTTTAGAGTAACGTTAAATGTTAAATATGGTTAAAAGTAACTTTCGGTTACATGTCGAATTCTTACCTAAAAAGCTTAACCTCAATAACATTATCATCACTGACGACTAGGGCCTCACATGAGGTGTAGTTGGGAAAGCCTGCGGCTTCCAGCAGGAGTGGGTCCAGCAGTATCGACATACATCGGCTGGTGGAGTTAATATCCAGCCATGATTGACGTCTTTCCGTGCCCTAGGGAAAGTAGAGTATAACTAAAAATGCGAAACATCTTTCCTAACACAATAATAGATTAGTTCCAATATTTAATTATAAATAAACATGTTTATATACGACAATAAAATTTATTTATTTACGATGTTTAGATTTTTTTTACTATAATATCAAGTAACGGGACGAACTACTCGTGCGCCTGATAGTAAGTTAGAAGCTTGTCCATAACAGTTGCAGTGCCACTCAGAGCTTTAAATCGCAAAGATTGAGGGTCACTGCCACTGAGTCTGTCGCCCTGAGACATAATTTGACAAGTCCTATGTGCCTGCCTGTAAATTCACCAGCACCGTTACCCTTCAAAACCGGAACACAGTAATGCTGACATTACTGCTTGGCGGCAGAAATAGGTAACGTGGCAGTACTACCCTAAACGAACTCTTTCACGAAGAACTCTATTGCTACTTAAATATCTATTATATAGAAATAATTTAAATATTATATAGACATTCCATATAGAAAACATTACACATTAAACAAATATTGAACATAATAGCTCAACACTAAGTGCTTCGACTACATATAATTCAATCCATTTTTAGTTTGCAAAGGTAAAAAAACTGCTCACCAAGTGATACTGAAAGGGTAATTGCGCTCTGTAATCAGTCAATGTCCATAGAATCTCAGCTGAGTCAACTCCTTTCTCAATATTTCATTTTAAATTGTACCGTACTGTCGTAACTCAAAAATGGTGGAACTAAGAATACCTACCTGATTTTAAAGTTCAAAAATTACTGAATGGAACCAATAAGTCTATTTTCTCGTTTATAAGAGGATAACTAAATATTACGTATAAATAAAAATAATCCCATTATTAACAATAAGTATCATTCCGTGTTTTTCACTAATTTTCAAATTGTATCTTCTCAATACGACCAACTTTGAATTAGGGCGCGTTCCCATTATGTCCTAACATTTTACTTATTATTGGACGACCGTTGCGTCTAGGCTGTTCCCATATCACGACTATCTGTCGTGAACGATTATTTTATCGTTGAAATACTGTCTGTCTAGCTGTTTCCACTAGATCGTGACGACAATTTATCATTTCACGGCAGCCGCCTTGTCGTTTGCACGACAGAATCGTTTAATGCACTGCAGTTGCTTCTATGTTCTTTTGGAAGCTAGTAGTGTGTGTTCGCTCCCGTATGAAATGGATGAAGATGAAATTATAATAAAGTATTACTTTTTAAAAAGGCGGAAGAGGAAGCAAACGAAGAAAAATAAGTTTTGGATACATCCAACGTCATTAAAAAGAATTCCATTAGGGTTATGTCAAACGTTTATAGATGAACTGAAAAGTGACAAGAGAAAATTTTGGGACTATTCAATAATTTAATATTTTGTAATAATACAATGTTTTTGCATTCTCGCCATATTTACAGGGGTCATTCTATATATCCGAAACTGAACCCAAATCACAAAAAAAAAAGAAATGGAAAAAAAATTTCGTAAATTCCTATTTTGAACAATGACCTTAAATGCGCAGATCTATTTGGTGGTGGGGTACGGGTACCGATGGCGGGGGAGAGTCGTATCGAGCGCGCGATTGGTAGATCCGTCGACCTTGCTTCCCGTACTGCGTCTATGTCACGCTGACAGCCCGCATACATTCTATTCTTGTCTGTTACGAAATGCCGCGTGGTTTGGTATGTAAACAAGAGTTAGTAGTGCAAAAAAAACCGCTACCAGGTTCACCAGAACCTACATAGTAATCCATCAAGTACAAGCGCGTGTTTATTCTCATGGCATGATGTGAAACGTTAAGTTTACGCTGAGGATACGAGTGTCGAAGTTTCTGCTTGCAAAGTTGTGGAGTCTAATGTAGAAACGAAACTCACGTGCGAATCTCTGGTGGTGGCTCCGGTACGGACCCAGTCACCAGCTGTGGAGCTAGGTGCTCCTCGCAATATTTTCATGTAACTTAACGTTAGTAAGTACTAAATCTAAGTAACAAAAAAACTTTTGTAATTAATGTAAATAAATAGTAAATTATTACAATACCAGTACACAATCATAATTGAAAAAATAGGTAAATATGGGGATCGAGAAAGATTACGTATCGCTTGGTGAATCTGGTGGCGGGGTCACTGCCCTTGAGTGGTGCATAGGACTAAAGAGGCAATTTTGCAAAACTTTACTAGATACAATTAGCCAGAATATTGAACAGAGTATATGTTTTCATATTTTTAAATGATTTAGCATTATTTCTATTATTAATTTCTTAAAGATGGCGAGAATACAAATCAACACACTGTATGTATAATTAAATTTGAACAATAGTAGTTGCGACTATCTGTCGTTACGTTGTTACCGTGACGACAGATAGTCGCAACATAATATGTTTTTGCAAAATTAAAGCTATCCTGTGCTAAAAACACGATAAATAAATTTAAAAAATGTATTTTTAATTAAATTTTTATTGAATTGATATTCAATTATTTTTTGTGAAATTACTCCACTAGTCTGTTATAATTATTAATACAAAGATCGAACACTCAGGAAAAACACTCAGAAAAAATTTCTTCGATCCGGTCGGATTCGAACCGACGTCTTCTTGCATACCGTGGCAGACGCTATACCAACTAACCCACGGAACGAACCAACGGACCTCAGGAATTTTTCTCTGTGCTTGCGTCGTGTCTTTGTACTTGGTCTTTCCGTTGGTTCGTTCCGTAACTTAGTTGGTATAGCGTCTGGCACGGTATGCAAGAAGACGTCGGTTCGAATCCGACCGGATCGAAGGAATTTTTTCTGAGTGTTTTTTCTGAGTGTTCGATCTTTGTAATAATAATTATAACAAACTAGTGGAGTAATTTCACAAAAAATAATTGAATATCAATTCAATAAAAATTTAATTAATACAGTGAATAGCGACATCTCTCGCCAGGACTGGTAGCTGTAAAGGTACTAACTGGGTAATAAATCTGTTAAAGATTTCTCATAGATGGCGCTACGACTAAAAAGTCGTTGAAAGACCAAGTACAAAGACACGACGCAAGCATATAGAAAAATTCGTGAAGTCCGTTGGTTCGTTCCGTGGCTTAGTTGGTATAGCGTCTGGCACGGTATGCAAGAAGACGTCGGTTCGAATCCGACCGGATCGAAGGAATTTTTTCTGAGTGTTTTTTCTGAGTGTTCGATCTTTGTATTAATAATTATAACAAAATGTATAATTATTCATGTCCCAAGTTGAAAAAATCATTCTATCACACTTTTACCTTCATTTGATTTGCGAATGCATTTTTAATTTGGTAAATGTATTTTGTAAGTTTTTAAAAGTTAGCAGCACTGTAAACGTTTAAAAATGACGAAATTCAACTTGTGCGTGTAAAAAGTTTCTACTACGAAAAGATTTAATTTAAAATTCTAAAAGTTATATTTTTGACAGTCATTCCCTCACATCATATAGAAAGAAACATTTGATTTCATTTATGCCTAGAAGACGGTACCTTGAAACACATTTTTTTCAATTGTCCTAATATTGCTGTTCCACTTTATAACTTACTTTCTCCAAAATTCCCCCGCCCCATTAACATAAACAACCTCTTAACTTTAGTGTTCTCCCCCCATATTGTTACTCTATGTAAATTTATCCACTTAAATAACATATATTTATAAATGTTGTTTTGCTGTTTTGTTTTACATTCTCAACTGAGTACTCCCCGTAGTCCAACTTACCAACACCGCTTAATGTCCTATTAGAACTTAGCGAAATTTTTTTAATTTTTTTTTTGTTTCGTTTTTTTTCTTTCAACTGTGACATTGGCAAAATCATTAGTTCTCATATTGATGGAGCCATAAAAATAAAAATTGAAGTGAAGTGATTTCATTTATTAATTCAGACGTGTTATTGGTAGCAGTAAGCTTACACAAAACATTAAGTCTAAAAGTAAGTTTATATCGCTATTTATTCTTGGTTTATTTTGATTTCGTCATTCCCTTACCCTCCAATGTTCTGATTCATTTTCTTAAGTCATTTATTTCATCAAAAACTATTTACATAAGTACTAAGTAAATAGTTTGTAATGTAAAAACTATGTATAAAGTATGTAAATAAATAGACAAAGAATAAATACAAATTCTAATCTCTAATACAAATCGAGTTCTTAGGTTTTCGCGATTGTTACACATAGGAAATGAAACTATTTTTCCGGATTTAAATCGCGTATATTTGTTTTTTCAAACAAACCGACGTTTGCGAGAGGCCATTGAAATTAAAAAACATCCTAATTTCAACAGGGAAGATGGTTTCTCCGTACCACCAGTTTAGGATCCAGTATTTCCTCTAATGAAAAATCCCAAACAGACATAAGACTGCAGTACTAATTAATATGTTTTAGTTTATTCTAATTTCTATTAATAATTAAAATAAATTGAACTTAATAAAAATTCATTCAATAAAATAATTTGTAAAACTTAATATAGCGTAAATTGGAATGTTTTCTTTGTAAAATTAAAAATAAGGTATTTAATTAATAACTAATGTAACTATAGTGAAAAAATAGGGTGGTTTGCATCAATATTAGACATAACTGGTTGAAGACTGTACCACCTCAGTCAACCGTGACCATGGGACCTGTAAAGGGCCCGAAACGTCGGTTTGTTTGAAAAAACAAATATACGCGATTTAAATCCGGAAAAATAGTTTCATTTTCTAATACAAATCCTAAAAATTTTCATAAATATCATGAGAACTGCCCATATATGTACTGTAGTTTATATAGATAATTAAGTTTTTTTATTTAAATGCGACCCCTGGAGTGCATAAACGCATTTATTGAACACTTACCGAAAGAATGTTAATTCTGCCCACAGACAGCTTGCTGCAGATTATGGAAGTGATCAATTCGTTTTTCTCGTTGTGAGAGTTGAGGAAGTCTCGCGCGTCCTGCAGAAAAAGTGACAGTGTTTGAAAATGTATGAAAATGCACGATGCGATGTATTTAGGTATAATAATGGTTGCATAAATAATGTAAATATTATTTATGCAGCCCCAATAAAAGAAATCATGGGGTTTTAGGTCTGGAGAAACTTTTTATTCGGGAACACCTTCTATATGATTAAATTATTATGTTAAATTCTCCTTCTCCCCTTCTCCTTTTCTCCTTCACCTTCTCCCCTTCTCCTTCTCATTCCGCTTCCCCTTCCCCTCCCCCTTCCTCTTCCTCTTCCTCTTCTTCTTCTTCTTCTTCTTCTTCTAACTCGAATGGAGATTACTTTGAAGGAATCCACGAGCCGGATTGTGATTAATAGACCCGGAGCGGAATAACAGACGAAGGTCGGATACTTTTGGGACAGTCGTATATAATTTCATTACCTATATTTTTTATATATTCTTTATTGCACCAAACAAAATACATCAGAAAAATTAATTATAGAAAAGGTGAGCAAAGGTGGCTTTACCTCTAAAAGAGATCCCTTCCAGCCAACCTAAGGCTGTGAGAACAAAGGTCATAAGCGGGCAACACTGTGCAAGTAAAAAGGAGGGGCTGCCCTCCTGGAACCGGGAACGAAGGTAGGAGAAGTTATGGTCATGACATATATTAAAAAGGGTGGACAGGATAATATGCACTTCACGGCGGACAACAGTCCGAAAATAAATCGGATAGCTAGGTTTTGTAGGCGCTCTAGTTTGTTCAGAAGCTCTCCAATTACATCCAAGCAACAATGATGATGATAACATTTGAATCATGCCTAAATTACTTAAGTAGAAACAATAAATATCGCTACTAATATGTAGTTAAATATACTTTGCTTTACCTGAATAAAATTAATCCACTGTCTATCCAAGAAGATGTCAACAGAAGACTGCCTGTACAAATGTGGTGGGAACCATTTATTGGCTGACTCTCTTCGCAATGCCTGATCCTGGCGAGGTAATAACCAGCGGAGAAGGGTTTCTATGATACTGTACTGGGTTGGGAGGTGACCACAGGATGACATGATTGCTGCCAGTCTTATGCTAGGGAATAAAGTGAAAAATATGAAATTTTATTGAGATTAAGTGACCAGTTTCTTTTGGTTTATACTTGTAAATATTGTGTTTAATCTAACAAGTTGACAATAGTTCACAAAAACTTTTCAAAGTCATGTCGAATGCCTAATATCCATTCCATGGACAAAAATTTCTCCTTAAAATCCTTTCCCCTTACTTATAAGAAACCCGTGCTCAACCGTAGGATGTTTGCAGTTTGATGGCAAGCTTGTCATAGCTACAAGTGCTGTCAGATTGTTGGACATATGCAAAGAAATGTCAGAAGGTGAAGGCAATTGAAATGATTTTCAATTCACCTATGTTCACACACTATTCATAATAATAATAACGCACACACTCAACATAGACCCGCACTAGGGAAACCCTGTGTCTAGGGTGCCATGGACACACACATAGACAACCACAAATTACACCCAAACTCACGAGAGAAATAAATGTAGGCCATACAAATATTTTTCCCGGCCCGAGAATCGAACCTGGGACATCTGCGTGGCAGTCCGGCATGGTAACCGTTCGGCCATACTGTTGGTCATGGGCACTGCCAAAAGAGTAGTACTAAACATATTTTCCCATTTATAGCACTAAAATGTTTTATGTATACATAATACATTTCATATCACTGACTTTTTGAGTAACATTGAATCAAAATTTGTAACGTCTGCTGGTTACTATTTGGAGTTGGTCACCACCCAAAAGATCTGTGGTCCATATTCCTCTGACTTCTTTTGAATGGTGATCGCCTCAACCCTTATATGATTATGAGTTACATGTTTAGTTAAAAGAATGTCAGTGTAATTGTACAATGAAACAAATAAAAAACTGATTTCAAATATTAATTTTTTAACACACGGCGCCGTAACAACAGCGGCATCGCCGCTGCAGTTGTAGTCGCCTTTGCATTTGTTTATACACTTTCATATGCATATCGCGCCGTTACTGGACACCGCGGTATATGATGCCGCAACTCTTGCGGTAATCAGCCTAAGCCGTAGTAATGTAGCTTAGGTTGTTTGGAAAATTACTTCTTTACATATTCGCAAGTATTACAGCGGGAAACACTGCTGTACTATTTTTTTCCCCAGTTCTATGACAGGTCACGTAAGGTTCTAATCCCAAAACTTATTTCTCACCAAACTTATAACTAGGAATATGATATAGTTTAGATAGGTATAAAGTATAATGCTGATTAATTCTGACTTACCTCACTTAAGCAAGTCGGCCTAGGTATATCAGTGCAGGTTTCTAGTATACTTTAATTTACCAATTATTTCATGAAATATTTTCTTTCTTATATTTCTTACATGTGAAGCAAATTAACAAGTATAAGTACTGAAGTACCTATTCATGTAATATACTTACAAATAATGCTCAAATTGACTTCTGAAACCCAATCTTATCTCCCTGGAAGAATTTGCACTGAAAATGTTGAAAGTGTGAAGCACTGCATGTCTCTGTATTACATCCAGTTTGCCATTTGTTGCTAGATCTAGGAGACTCTCTGCTGTTTCTTCTATTAATATGTTGTTCAGTGAAGGATGCTTTTCTGTTATTTGCTGGAAATAAGGGTGAAGTAGGGCTGTAGATGACAATGATGATTTGTTACAAATTGCCCAACATTGATAGGGCAAAATCTACAAAAATATCATTAGAAGGCAGTACTCTGATCAATGGTTCAGCTAGTACTACCTCATTCTTTAGAGCATCAAGTCAGCATTACCATGATGTTGTTCTACCTCCAACAGAAAAAGAACCCTGAGAATAACTGATTGTTAAGGGATTTTGTGTTTCTAATCTATTGATTATATTAATATCCTTAACAGAGAGTGATGATCAGTAGTGGTAGATGTGGAGTTGTCCAGTGAGTTGGAGATACAAGTCAATGGGAATTTGCCACACACATGGTTAACTTCCCATTAATCCTGTGTGTGGCAAATTCCCTGTTCTGGGACGGCAAGTGAATACCTTCATCTGGCACTGCCATTTTGCAAAATTAGGTACATCTGGCAAGAACTCCAGGAGGCCACTTAATTCTAGTGTGCACTGTTTAGAAAATTGTGATTTTACTGGTTTTTTTTCATATATGCTCATATATTTCATATTCCGCATATGCTCTTTTTAAAATCACCATGTGTTCAACTAACGGATTGCATTGCAGAAAACACATTTTTGATGTAAAAATAAAGTTGTTGTTAAGTCAAAATTAAGTTTAAAGAAATTTCCCCATTAAGAATGTCGGTGTAAACCCCCCAGAAATGTTAAACATTAAAAATTCTTAATATTAACTATTATCCATTCTTAGTGTTTCACTTACATTATATTACACATTACTGTAAAAAATTGTTAGATAAAAACGCACTCCATAATTTTTTTTGGCAATAGAAGCTTTACAATAACTCGATCCTAACAGCAGACCCCGTGTCAATCATGTATGATGGCTCATATTTAATGATTAATTTTGAGAACAATATGACTGAGCAATTACAGTCTATCCTTGTGTTATATTAATGCTTTAATACAAATTAAAGCAGCATGAAATCAGGTCTAAATTCACGTCTAAACAGAACACCTCGATTTTGTCTCAGCTTTTGTAGCAGCAAGGTGTGGTGCTTTGAATGGGAATTTGCCAGACAAGTGGATTGCGAAAAATGGCAGCACCAGATGTAGGGTTAATAATTGTAGCTGTTAATATGAGCTGTCTGCACAATAATATTATCCGGTGTTCAGAGAACTCGTATCCAGTAGTAGAATGATCAGTCATATATAGGACCCCAGTAAAACACATCACAGTGAAATTCTGAATTTTAAGTACCTATATAATGTATAAATTGTGCCAGCCTGGATATAATAGCCACTTAAAAAAACAGAAGCCAGATATTAAGTAAAATAAAGGTGTTATTGATAAGTTTGTGAAGGTTTACCTTTACGAAAATCAGTAGTTGTTTTAGAAACAACCACCAATTGATGTTATGAGTGATGAGATGTTTTCTTACGGCATCCAGCCAATATTGTATGAGAGAAATGACCTCTTTACCAAGCATATGCCAAATTTTGGATCCGGGTAGCTCGAACATCCTCTCCAACACTTTGATTACCGCACCAGTATCATCGCATTTGTTAAAGTACTGAAATCATAGTATTTCATAACCTGAACGACCGAGAAAAATGATTCAATTCACTATACTCACTGAGAAAACTCACCTCAATTTCAAGAGATCGGACATTTTTCAAAGCAATTATGGTGGACATGTTGAACTGAATATTTTGTACAATTTCGGAGTTATTAGCCAAATCTTGGCTGATTTCCATGTAATTTTCAAAGGTTTTAGCAGCCCTTAAACGTTTACACACGTCCATTTTGCCAATACCTCTAAATTTTCCAAGAAATCCGAAGAGTTGTTTCAATCATTTGCGTCACAAATTTAGAAAGATATTTTGCTTTTTCCCGCGGCAAATTATTTTTTCTTTTTTTTTTACACTTCACGGCTAGTATTTACGCCACTAAAGTTACATAAAAATGTAGCAAGAGCGGTATTTTGGTAAGATCGGCAAGATTTTAATTATTTGAGAAAAAGTGAATAGGGAAGTGCATGGGAAGTGTATGTAAATATTACAACGGTTGTAAATATTAATGTGTATAAATAATTTATAATTAGAAAGTACGTATTATGTGTAATAAATTAGACTTGAAATATGTAACTCATATACAAGGATATTTTATTGTTAGGCAATTAAACAGGTTTTTTAGGATAAATCACGATTTCATCATCAATTTCTGAACTTCAATTACTAATCGAATTCGAATGTTTGCAATCTTTTCTCTTCAAATCAATTTTATAAGTAACTGGCTGGTACCTGCAATTTCGTCTGCGTAGAATAAAAACTGCTTTGAGTAGTCTACTGTACCTTTATTTATCATACACACACACACACACTCTCTCTCACACACACACACACACACACACATACACTCATGCGTATCTTCTTCTCTACAAGTTCTACATATTACCGAACAATAAATGTAATTAACTGACTCTGAGTTGGGAGGCCTGGAAACCTAAAATACAAATCATAGATTTAGTTTAGGCTCCAGCTTTCCACAAATGTAATTTGTTTGAAATTGTTACCTTAGATTTAATATCTCTTTTTAAGTAATATTTGTGGAAGGAGAAATAAACGATTTTTATTTATTTTTTTTATTTTATTTTTTTCCATTCTCTAAGACTGTACCTAGGTACTTTAGAATAATAACGCATAGAAACCTAGCCCGCACACGCTAAGTGAGGCAAGTTAGAGGCTTCCAAACGCGCTCCCAGGAGCGCGCGGGCTGTTAGTGCTCAAGGTCATATTGCACCGCGAACAGCTCCAAAATTTTTTGCTAAAAATGACGAAATGTGCGGTAAATGGGTGTAAAAATACAACAGACAAACATAAACTAGACACTAACATCGCATTCCACAAGTAAGTAATGCGTTTCAACTCATATTTTTATGTAAATATTCACTAAAACAGAAAAATAATTTCGCGGCAACAAGATACGAAAGTGTTGCAAAGTAACGAATTTTTTTTCTCCCCATTTTGCTATTCTGTTTCAAAATAATTATATTACGTAAATTTTAGTGGTGCCTGTAATTTCGATTTATTTGCGCATCTTGAACTAATTTTATATTTATATTATATTATATATATTATAATATTATATTTACTTGAATAAACATTAAATGTTTTCGTTAACTCCTGTAAGTGATTGGGACACTTAATTATTTTATAATACTTTTAACGGCTCTGCGTTCATGCTATATTGAATAATTATTTATTTTAATTTTATTTGAATTGGAGCACATATTGCAACAAATTTACAGTATATATTTGTTTCTACTATAGTGTTGGCACCACCAGTACAACTTTGATAGCTTCTTATAATGTCTTTCTTTTCGTAACTCAAGCGAAATATTTTATATTGAAATATTTTATTTTCTTAAAAGGGGAGCATTCTTAAGCGATTTTTTAATCTATTTTAACAGTTATTTTCTTTAATGTTTGCTTATGGCATTTTCGGTTTTAGGTTTCGAATATGGCACTTATTTCTAAATCCAAGATGGCGGGCGCGATTTTTCGAATAATGGCAAGTTGGGTATCGTTTTCGAGATGTTTGGGAATGTTCAATACAAATATGGCACTCATTTCTAAATCCAAGATGGCAAACACGACAGTTCAAACAAAAGCAATATTCGTAATGAGCACCCCCAAATACCTCGAAAACGATACCCAACTTGCCATTATTTGAAAAATCGTGCCCGCCATCTTGGATTTACAAATAGTGCCATATTCACATTGAGCATCCCCAAATACCTCGAAAATGATACCCACATAGCATTTTTTTGAAAAAATCGTGCCCGCCATCTTGGATTTAGAAATGAGTGCCATATTCGTAACGAGCACCCCCAAGTACCTCGAAAATGATACCCATATTGCATTAATTTGAAAACTCGTGTCCGCCATCTTGGATTTAGAAATGAGTGCCATATTCGTAATGAGCAACCCCAAATACCTCGAAAATGATACCCATATAGCATTTTTTTGAAAAATCGTGCCCGCCATCTTGGATCTAGAAATGAGTGCCATATTCGTAATGAGCACCCCCAAGTACCTCGAAAATGATACCCATATTGCATTTATTTGAAAACTTGTGTCCGCCATCTTGGATTTAGAAATGAGTGCCATATTCGTAATGAGCATCCCCAAATACCTCGAAAAGGATACCCATATAGCATATTTTGAAAAATCGTGTCCGCCATCTTGGATTTACAAATAAGTGCTATATTCGTTTTTCATCGACAAAACCGAGCATATCTGTAGGCACATGATCGACATTGTCGATCGACAAAATCGAGCACATCTGTAGGCACCTGATCGACAATGTCGGGCAAATCTGTAGGCACCTTTAACTTAATGATGAGTTAAGCAAGATACAATTTCCCCACTTTTGAGGGAAATGTTATTCCATGGCATCATTATTTGTATATTTGTGTGCGTGCCGACGAGCGTAGTTACAAGTTGCTTACGCCTACATGAATTTGGTTTTTGCCTCACTTGTGACAGTTCGTTTGATATGAAACTATCATTCTATGCGTTATTATTCTAAGCTAGGTACTATACTAAATTTCATACTTTTATTGGTATATACAAACTTTAATTCCCTACCTTTTTATGATAAAAGTAACATTATGTCCTTCTCCTAGGTACGGACAACAGCGTATCAGACTACACATTTTTGTTCGAAAATTGCAACGAAACAAGATACGTCAATGTGTAGCTTGATGTGCTGTTGACTACCATCTATCTATGTATATACCTACCAAAATACATCAAAATTGATTCAACTATTTAGGCGTGACAACGTAACAGACATACAGACAGAGTAACTTTCGCATTTATAATATTGCTTTGCATTAATATTACTGGTAATTTTTTTGTTGGTTCCAAATCACATACTAATGATTACAAACTTTTGAGTAATTTTCAGGTTCGTTTTCTCTACTTCATTTCGGTGGCAATTTTTATTATTTAAGTATTTCAGTATACTGTTGTGAATTATCGTATATTTCGGAATAACAGGGAAACATTTGAATATTAAATTCTTGTGATTTTATTTGCAATTGATCGTCGCAATTGATTTCAATTGAATAGATTTTTTAATCTGTTTGTGTAATTGATTAACGCCCAACTCTGAATGTATATCAATGACTTGTATACGGACTTGCGCGCTTAATATGGCCGCTTTGTTTAGGGTTGTACCAAATGTTGTAACCTAGAATAACATCTGTTACCGATAATTTAACGAATATGAGTTTGTTTAGTTTTAATATTCTGCAATGGTTATTCTGATATCGGGTATGCGTGGAATAAACGGTACGTATTTAGTTTATTTTGTTATTATACATAGGACGTTCGAACAGAGCTCCAAAAATGATAGCGGCGGCGGCGATAACAATGAAAAAACAATGGATCAATGGTCGAAGTCGGCACCTCCAGGTCCGCAGGGTAATTGCGTAACTCAATGACAATAATCAACTTTTGGCCTGAGCCTCCGTTGTAAATGAAATCCGAAAGGCTCGGTCGCATAATTTATCTATACGTAGAAGAATATAGGAAAACAGATATCCATAATGAGTAGGTAATAAATAAATGAAAATATCGAGTCCTCCTGGTACAAGAGTAGTTTGGAGTGACGATAGACCAAAACCGGGAAATACTCGTAGAACGTGATTTAAAAAATACTTATTTTTTATGGACCAGAAAAATTAAAAGACAATGGCAAAAAGTGTGATGACGATGAGGATCCGCCTTCAGATAATTTAACAAAATGAGATATTGTCATTGTCATTAAGTTAGCCACACACACTGCTGTTTTTAACCAAAGGATATCATACCAATCAACCAATCGTCGATCAATTAGTGTTATAGCTTTGATGGATGATAATTATGTTGGCACTGGTTGGCTCCATAAAACGTCGTTAGCGGGTTGATGTAAAAAAACATGTTTTTGCATACATTTTTTTTTTATTTCTAAACAAAATTAACTTATTAAAATAGTTCCCATACGAAATTTTATCACTATATTTTTTTCCATGATATCAGAACCTTATATCAATATACACTTTTATTATCGTTTTAATAAGGAGCAACGTATGATTTGTATTGTGTTCCATGTTGAGCGGTAAGTATAACATTTTTTCGCTGTCATAATACTCTACCAAAAACTTGAAAATATATAAATAATATTTTTCTGGCTTCCTTTGATTTGTGATGTGAGATTTGATCAAATTTTCAGTTTTCTTTATAATGTCCACAACTCCAATAGATGCGTACTGAAGACCACCGCGGGACTTCTGGAACACCAAACAATCATGATTTTATTCCCCAACTAACAATGATAAACATATGTCACATTTTACCTCCCGTGACACCTTTCGTGATACAAAACCTGCAATATATTCCAATGCACTTTCTGTGCGTTCGTCTAAGTTTGTTCCTAAATATTCAAAATATGTATCATAAAGTTCACTATTGTCTTCAGATATTTCCACTAAATCTTTCTTTGGGTCAACTGGTATATTCAAGTAATTGGGTTTTTGCTTGAGCATGTCAATATATTAATCTGCTCCAAAGGAACGCAGTTACCTACTCCACCCTCTCGAATTTCTGCCCTTATCAGGAGTTTCTTGTACGATGCGCGAAACTGTGTTTGGGTTGTCGTTAAATGTCGCATTGGGGTTGTTGTTAAAGCCTCCCTTGGCTCTTATAGCTGAGAAAAATAGTTCTTGGCTAATTTTGCAGAGCATGCGCGTGTTCTAAACCATATGCTCGTAAAACGCCAACGCACTTTTCATATCAATAATCAAACCAATAAATCCAGTTTTTATTCGCGATTGAACTAACAAATCTCCTGAAGTTAGTTTAAGCTATTTATATAAGCAATGGCACTTTCAAGCAACGCTCTTATAAAGCCAATGTTTCGAGGACATATAGCCTTCTTCCAACCAGGTCGGCGGATTGAGTGGCTGTTGAGTACATCAAAAACATAGTTCATGATGTTTATAAAATTTACTGTACCACTGCACTGTTCGAACTCTTTGATTTTTAATGTGTTGCAGCAGAATTGAAGAGCATCTGCTACAGCTACTGAATAATTGAGTAGCCAGCTTCACCTTCATTTTTTGTTTTTCATACAAAATGTGGGTCTTACCTATTTTAGTAGCTAGATGCAGCCCTTTGTGTTCTTGTAAATTTAGAAGCAGTTCTAAATATTTAAACTTAATTTCTCGACCCATGGCCATGGAGTCAACGAAAACTCTCAATTCTCCAAAAGCATTTCTTACCAACTTTACAGCATGGCATGGATCAATGAATATGTAGATTTGACTGTCGTGACTTTGGAATTTGGTCGTTTTTTGATCCCTCAGAACATTACAGCCCAAAGATGTAAACATGCTAAAGTTACCAGCTAGATCATCACAGGTGACACTAACCACTTTGACTCCAGCGTCTTGGCAGAGTTGTATTGCTGTCTACACAATAGTAGCCTTTTGCTCTCCAGTAAGGGATACAATAAGGAAGTATCCAATTGGCAACTTCCACGAACCATTTACTGATGTTACCAGCAATACCAGACATTGGCTGACTTCGTCCACATTGTCACTGTTAATTTCGTGGCCGCAATAAACACGACCATAAAATTTTTGCGACTTTGAATCCTAGGTTAGACATTTTCTAATAGCCATCTCATCCAGTGTCAAGGCGCACATCACAGGGTGAACACTTTCTTGAACCTTTCTTTTTAATGCCTGAAAAGCCTCTTTTGTAAAGCCAGGTTCAGCATGTTGATACCATTTGCTCAAAGTGCGAGGGTGTGGCAAACATGTGTTGTAGGTACTCCTTATAAACTTATATGTTTTCGGAGAAAAAAAATGAAGTGTCAAAGCAAAATTTTCTTATTTCTTCTGAATATTTTTTTTCTGTAGGTAAACCCATAGATTTAGCTATTTGCATTTTCAAAAAATCTTCTGGTCCTGCACATTTCTCCAAAATGAGCGTTTCTTCATTGTTAATGAATCTATCTTTCTGAAGGTGTTTGAAAATATTAGATAAGAGAGCAATCTTTCCATCCCGTCTCCGGATCTTTTCATTTAAACTTGTCACTTTCCGTTTCAGCAAATCACATTTTTTTTGTAAGAAACTTCACTTTTTCATTTGGGTGTCGAATCTGAAACATAGTAATTATCATGATCAGCAACCCATTATACGTCCAAATGCTGGGCACGGGTCTCCTCGAGGAGAGGGTTCAGCCTCCAGAAAATATTATTATCAGTTTTTATCTGTCTGTCACGGGACGAAAATTAAACAAATCGTTAAAATATTAGTCTGATTTTATTTACATAGTGCATAATAAGTTGGGTCCATACAAAAAGAGAGAAATCAAAACATAAGCAATCTTTGAGAAAAAAATTTACCTTTGCATATGGTACATTTTTGGTCAAATTATAATTTGACAAGTTCAACTCCATTGAACAGGCCAGCTCTGATTTAATTTATACTTCACTTAAAACAGCTTGTGTCCTGACCATCATACTGGGTTGTTGTGAGTGTGTGATTTGCCTAGGCTGAAAAAAGAGAAGAGAAATAAGTCACACAACCCATCTATGTGCCTAATTTAATCATTGAAATACTATAAAAATAATCAACATGATGTGATGAAATAACTACTTCGGGAACTTATATTTATGTTACTTATTAATAATAAAAGCTACCAGCATGGAAGGTATTGCGCCGTCATATTATCTTGTCACATCGAGAGTTTTATTGAAGGAGTCATGCTTCTAAGTACATAGAGCATAATTGATGTCAGGGGGTTTATATTTTCGATGCCAATAATTTCTATCCATTTCCTGTTCAGAATTTCATTTACAGGAAATCTGTTGAATAAAATACCATTGCAACATTTTATATGTGTAAAAGTATTAACGCTACCGATACTTTAATAATCTCAGTACAGAGTACTAAAAAAACCGACCTCGAAAGTACGTGGAATTACGTCTATTTGCTAAGTTTTATTGAAATATCCCCTAGTTCGCCACTATACAGGACTTGACACTACACAAAGTATATTGAGAGAAAAACGCTTTGAATTGTAAAAATAGCAAAATCACCATCACCAAGTAATTGCTCCTAAATTAAAGTTAGGCGCTATTTATAAAAATGAATCTTCATGCGTGAACAGCTACTCTTCGAGGTGGATGATTTTCTTGAAAACGAGGCTCAACTGTACATTACCATCGCACGAGTTGAGAGTTGAAATTCATATGGTGAATAGATTACATAGTTAGCAGTGTAATCCTAAAATATTAGCTTTAGGAAACTTGTAGTTTTGATAATAAAAATTATTGAAATATTCGAAAATATATGATAGGAAACAGGTTTTACAGGTTAGGAAAGCACAGCGTTTGGTTGTTGCAGTATTTTTTTGCGTTATTTTAAAAATTTTCCGCAGTATTGAATTAAACAGCACAAATTAATACGTAATTGTAAATTTAACATAGAAATTTACTATAATTAGTATGTAAGCTTTTATTTTTGAACAATTATTTTTTGTTGCAAAAAAATAACGAAACGCGTAGAGAACGCCATGTTGTTTGTTGTTGTTTACTGTTTGATGTATGCATCAATTAGGATTTTGCGTTTTTGCCTGGTTTTAGGTTTAAATTTAGTTTTTCATATAACACAGGAAGTGGAGTTGGGGGGGTGGTTTGGGGGTGGGTTTTTCCCGCTAGGGGTTCGGGGGGAGGGGTTTACCCCGCTCTTTGGTGCGAAAACATGATTTTTTGAGGTTATTTTTTTCGAATTTTCAAAAATTAATATCTCGAAAACTATTAACTTCCTAACTTTGAAACTTTGCACGAAGGGTTCCCTCCCCTCCCCCCCTTCCCCCCACCCCCCTCCCACCCCTCAAATCGTGCGATGGTAATGTACAGTCCTTCCGAAAACGAAATGGGACCACTATGGAAGTACCCCCTTTCCAACAAAAAAAGAATAATGAAAATCGGTTCACAAATACCGGAGTTATCGCGTAACATACATACAAAAAAAAAAAGAACATACAGTCGAATTGAGAACCTCCTCCTTTTTTGAAGTCGGTTAACAATGTATACAAACACGGTACATCACTAATGGCGCATCCACACATGCCCGGCGGCATGGCCGGCGGCCGTGCCGCCGGCATTTGCCGCATCTCAGCCGCGACACGCGCGGCTTTTGGTTGCCGGCGGCAGTTTGCTTGCGGCTTCGATACGGAGTGGTAGTGTAGTCGTATTCATATATAACATAATTTAACAACACTACTGCGAAAATTGCAACCGCATCTGCAGGCCGCCGGTAAAGCCGGCGGCCTGCTTTCAGCGGCAAGGCGGTCTGAAACCCGGCGGCATGTGTGGATGCGCCATAACGTTACTAGTAATTTGTATGTAAATAATGCAATGAAATAATGAAAACATCAACGTTAAAAGAGATACAAAACTATCAAAAGCCCCAATAATGTGTAAAAATATCATCTTTTGAGAATACATTACACAAAATCCTAAAAAATCCGACATTATCAACGAAAACTGATTACTAACCTGTGAAGGGTCAATTCAGGCTGATTTTGGTTTTTTCTTGCACCACACTGTTTTAGACAACACGAGGGCATGATTTCCTCAATACAGGACACCACAATAACTAGATTCTAGACGTATTTATCAAGAATTAAGCAAACAAACTTTTGACAGCAGATCTACCACGAAAACATAGATAAAGAGTATTATACTGGCGTACACGAAAGTGACAGTGGCGCTAAATATGGCGACGTCGTCGGTCACTCTCACTAGCTTGTAACGTCATACGAAAGTGTTGCCAAAATTAGAAGCAAAACGCTTTTTCACACTTTAGTGTCGATATCATAGATTTATGCATAACCTATTCTTCTTTTATTTTCATTTCATTCTATCCTCTAAGATTCTTCTTAGAGCAAAATATGCCATCTTCATAGATTTATTATCTATTATCTCATTATATTGAGTAGTGAGAACCTAGACTAGAATTCCCGGTATTTTTTTTCCATCCTCTAAAGTGAGAACCGATTTTTATTATCTCCTGTGTCAAGTTCCGTATAGTGGCGAACTAGGGGATGAATCTGGGTTTGCGCACTTTCCGGTAACCGATTTTAATTAAATTTGGCTCTCAAGACTAGTGGAATTACATCTTAAGAAGCGTCAAATTTGTGTAAGCAACCAAAGAGAATTTAAGCACTACGTTTAGAAGCAATTCAATTTGATTGCGTAATCGTATTCGTATTTTTTTTCTCATGTTGGCTGCATGCACTAGAAGAGAGAGAAAGAGAGAGAATATATTATATTATAATTTTTAGTATTTTGGCCGACGTGCAAAGTATCCAGAGCCGTAAAAAACCAATAAAAAAAATTATGGTATCGGAAGATTTCGAGTATAGTTGACGACTTGACGGATCGCATCGGTCGCGAGTGGACTGTTTTCGCAGAAAATTTTATTTTGAAGCCATGATAGATCGGCCGGTACTAAGGTACTTTTAAAATATGAAACGTTCGTCGAACTTAATATATGTATTTTTTCGGTTTATTACCAGTTCACTGTTATGATCGCGTCGTAACGCACCACTCCCGAGAATCCGTCGATATTATGTGGCCGAAACGAAGAAGCCGCGAAGAAATTCTACAATTATGATGCCCATGGTGTATACTGTTTACGGTTTTGCCATATTCTTCATGATAGCGTGGGTGTGTCTGTGGCTTATTCATATAATGGCTCTGTCGTATTCGAAGTGGAAGCTGCACCGCACTGTGGACCGGTCCCCACCGGAGACGCCGTATCCCGGCGTGACGATTCTCAAACCTCTCACCGGTACCGACCTTAATCTCTTCTCCAACCTGGAGACGTTCTTTACGCTCGATTATCCGACCTACGAAATATGTTTTTGTGTGGAGACCGAGCACGACGCCGCTGTTGTAGTGGTGAACACTTTGCTTCACAAATATCCTCACGTAGACGCTCGCCTTTTCACCGGCGGAAAGCATGTTGGGGTGAATCCGAAAATCAACAACTTGCAGCCAGGCTACTTAGCGGCTAAGTATCCGCTCATATTAATAAGCGACGCCGGCATTCGCATGCGGGATGATACTCTGCTAGACATGGTGCAGCACATGCGGGAGGACGTGGCTATAGTGCATCAGATGCCGTTCGCATGGGACGCGGAGGGTTTCGCCGCGGTGTACGAGAAGGTGTTCTTTGGAACAGCACAAGCGCGGATGTACCTCGGAGCGGATCTGTTAGGGATCAATTGCCATACGGGGATGTCGTCGCTGGTCCGACGATGTGCATTGGAAGAAGCTGGTGGCTTGCAAGCGTTTGCGGATTATTTAGCGGAAGATTACTTCATGGCCAAGGCGGTAATGGCGGCGGGGTGGAAAATGCGGGTGTCATCGCTGCCGGCGCTGCAGAACACAGGTGCTCGGTCAGTGGGCGGGCTCCAGGCGCGATTGGCGCGCTGGGCCCGCCTGCGGATTGCTATGGTGCCAACGACAGCGCTATTAGAACCTCTCACGGAGTGCATGCCCCTCGGCGCCGGCGCCGCCTGGGCCGCTGGACACTTGTTCAACGCGGAACCCCTACCGTTCTTCCTGGTGCATGTGTTAGTGTGGTTCCTTTCAGACTGGTTAATGTTGCGATCTGTGCAAAATGGATCACCCCCATTCACTAAAGTGCAGTTTTTGCTAGGCTGGGTGTGGAGTGAGTGTTGTGCCCCCTTTGTGTTGGCAGCCGCGCTAATCAGCCCAGAGATCTCATGGAGGACTCGGAGCTACAGGCTCGATTGGGGCGGTCATGCCCATGAACTTAAACCTTTGAAAACTGATCCAGTTGCGTTCCGTATTTAAAAAGCTTTAATTTCCAATTTGTTTACAATTTACATTGTGAACTGCCTATGGGTTGTATGTATGAATGAACATTATGTGCTAAGTGATTAAATTTTTTATTTTAAATATATTATAATTTGAAATGGTTACTTTTGTTTTAGAAAAAAAATGTACAATTGTTAGAATTAATTTTAATTATCTAATGTCAATTTATTGTGCATCTCAATTGAACTGTTGTATGTTATGTAAACAAAGCACAGTCTATGTCAACCTCATAGAGAACAAAGAACAACCTGAGATTTCATGGACAAAGCACTAAGACACTAGTAAATATCTATGTAATTTAATAAATAATGTTTTCATCACGTGCATTGTTGCTTTTAACCAGCTAAAGATTCTCAATGAATGCTGTTTGTTTAAGTTAGAACTTTCTACCTTGAATAAAAATATTTTTACAAAAGGATGATTTCTAGAAGTATATTTATATGATTCTTGTAGTGTGCCACAGTGTTGAAGCAAAACACTGCTCTAGCTGTATGAATTGTGACTTGAGTCAAGTTATTATCATTTAAACAGCTAGATCAGAACTTCATATAGGTACCGAAACAACAACATGGATCATGTCATTTAATTTTCATACCTGTTCTCTCTGTACAAGTTTCTAGACTGACATTAATAAGTTTTTCCTAAGAGTTTGTTGAGTGAATGAGCTAATGATCCAATGGATTTCAATAGTTGTGATTATTTATTTAATTGTGGAATGTGAAAGGATCTATGGGTTTTATAGGTAAAGAGCAATGTACCAATGTTACTTGAATATTAACACACCAATGCCCAAAATTTGCTATTTTACAGTGAAAAAAGTGTTCGAAACTCTTGCTGAAGCTAGTCAAATTTGCGTAACGAAGCATTTTTCTTAATTTTAATTACCTATTTATTAAGAGGTATAATGTTCACCGCCATTTGCCAAAGTGTTAAAAAACAATAAAGGATTTGTTTAAAACAAAGAATGCTTAAAAAAATCGCACCATTTTTTCCAGATACTGCTCAATAATTTGAAAACGGTTATAAGCAAATTGAACCAGTGTTATATGATATTACAGTGGATAAGAAAACTTTGCTGTGATTAAATTTCAACCGCAAAGAATTCGATATGTGATATTATTTCTACATCCCAGTACGACGACCGCAGGTAAAGCCAAACAGTATCCATAGTCCGTATTTCAAGGCAGAATATTTATACATCGTACATTGAGTAATAAGTAATAACTCTATAACTCTAGTTGTGGCCCTAACATACCTAATGAAACTGAAGATTCTCTTGTGTCACCATTTAATCGTTGTACTTTGGCTTTGCAATGTGTGTCCCATAATTCGTATATTCAGAATAACCTATATATTTTTAATATTGTACTACAATGTGTCACATTCCATACAAACTGCTAAACTGCAAACTGCAGTTTATAATTTTTTTTTGGAATTTCAATTTGATACTTTTAGTATATATGTATAAGTAGTAGTCTTTCTACAACTGTGGTAATAATACATAGGTACCTGAGGTAGCACATCGTCATTTTAATGTTTTGTTTTCCTCAAATCATTTATGATTCGTGTAAATGCAAAAAAACAGGTAAACTGTTAGGTAGTACTTGCTAAATATTATGCACGTACGTTGAAAAATATTTGTTTACGTAATATAATACTTCGATGGGTTGAATTCATAATTCCTAAAAGACAAAATGATAAAAACTGACAACGGAAATTTGAAAAGCTTATTTTCATACGTCACATAGTAGGTATGTTGGCAAGGTTATTATTGTTATGAAGTTAAAAGAAATCTATTGAATCGATATGTTATAAATAGTATATGACTGTACAATACAAATGTTGTGTAAAACATCCGAAAAATCACAAATTTTGTCTTTTTTTCATATTTTAGTCGGTAAATTTTTCGAACGGTCTGTGTAATAAGGTAATGAAAAAATGTAAAAATTTGCGACACTACCGCGTTGCCGGGCCGTGGAGTATGTTTCACTGAATATGACTTGTAAACTAAATTGTGCCGAATGACTAGTTTTTACCTTAAGTTGCCCATAGTCGTGAAATACTAGATCTCGTCAAGGGCGCCCTTTTAAAGTTATAATGATAAATATTAGACAATATCAAGCAACTCAAGCACTTGTGTTATGGAAATCGGAAACAACGACTGTTCCACAACCCAGACCCGAGACAATATAGAAAAGTTGTTTTCTACATTGATTCGGCCGGGGATCGAACCGGAGATCGAAGGGGGAGTCACACCTACTTTTGAAGAACGAAATCCGTAGTTACGGGCGTTGTACTGCTATTGATGACTTACGCAACTACTCTCGAAGGCCGAGAAGTTCTAAACTGCCAAACAGCCCGTTCATAACTGTCAAATCGCGTTTGTCATACATTCTTAGTTCTGCCTTTTCCATCCTCTAAGTTCTGCCCCGTTAACGCCTTCTTTAACAATTTTGTCTTCCGGTAGCAAAGGTAACTTACCACCACATAAGTTAACAATTTTTCGTAAATAATTATTAATAACCAAATTTAGTTTTTTTGACCTCTCGAAATCGCATTTGAGAAATGGTAAAAACAATCATGATGTACAGCTTTAGGAATCTCTCTATGCATGGATCTTTAACTTTTTAGTAGAAGTAAATATCTTTTTATAAGGATTCATCCAGGGAAGTACTGCCACCTTACCTATTTCTGCCGCCTAGCATTATTGTGTTCCGGTTTTAAAGGGTAAGAGTGCTGGAGAAATTACAAGCACATGCATGGGACTTGTCAACTTATGCCTCAGGGTGACGGGCGCAGTGGCGGTGCCCCTTAGATCTTTGCGATTTAAAGCACTGAGTGGCTCTGCAACTATTATGGACAGGCGTGCAGCTTAGGGCTTACTATCAGGCGCACGACTTGTTCTGTTCGTCCCGTCACTTGATATTATAAAAAAAAACTAAGGGAAATAAAGATTAAAAACGTTCCATTTATTCCCATTAGTTCAATGTATGGGACTTATGGGTTACAAATGTTCCACTTGGACCTGTGTGCATGGAACTACGGGAATAAAGGAAGTCTAAGTAATCCATAGTGGTAAATCGCCCGTAACTACTGATTTCGCGCTTCCAGATTAAGGCCCCTGATCTCAAATTAGGGATTCCCTGTAATACGAGTACAACTAGAGATTTTAATTATTGAGGCCACCACCTCAGAACTCTTAATTAAACAAGAACCAATTTAGAAAAGTTGATTCTTGAACCTGTTAATCTAGCGTCCAGGGTGCTAATCACTGGGCCAACGAGGTCGTCTCGGTACACTTAAACTTGTTATTCATTATATTATATTGCCGAGACCGGGACGTAAGGGATTGCCGGACGAGTATGAGTTACAAGGGCGAGCGCCAGCGAAGCCTTGTATTAATACGAGTCAATCAATCCCCGTTCCCGCCGAGGCTTGTATAGAATTTTCTCAAACAATGTGAGGAAATAATATAAGACTAAAGAGAGGAAGATGTTTAATAGTAAAAGTAAAAAAAATGTTTATTAATATTAAAAGTAATATTTGACGTGTTAGGACAATTATTAAAAGAAAATATTGTTTTTCCAGGCACATTAATAGTAGCCTGCTGAACTTCGGATGATGTGTTTGAATGTGTATATATTACTGTATTTTCGTTATCGCTCTTCTCACTAGCACTCATTTTCGTGACCAAAATAAGAAAAAGAAAGACGAAAAACAAAATAACACCAAAACACTGTAATAAAAATGTTACCGCCATTTTTTTTTAAGTAAGCCGAGTAAGCGGTACGGTATTTTTAATTCTCGCAATTAGAACACTGGGCAGTTGGCTGTATGAGTTTTTCTTTTTTTTACATAGTTCATTTAGTAGATTTAAAAGTTTAGAAAAGAAGACAGTAATGGATTTTCTTTGCAGGCCTTGGCCGGAAAGAAGTCGCATGGTCCAAAAGTGACAAACTTTTGCGTGTTCATTTTTTGAAAGGAATGCAAACATTTCCGAGCATGTTTTAGAAAAGTTATTTATATTCTACACTTCGAATACAGCTGGTCTAATGTTTGGTGTAAATTTCAACAGGTATTGTGGAAATGTTTATGAATCATTGCGGGCGGAGCGCGGCATAGTAAACAGAGGAAGGATATAAAACCAATATAGATGAACGTACTGGAGTTTTATGCGTACAGACTTTAGTTTGAAATTGGGCCTAGTTCGGCGTTATTTTTTTTAGACTTGTTCCTGAAAATTCGATTAAGCTTTTTAAGAAAGTATAGACTTGTAATCTCGTGCTAATAAAAAACTTTTCAACGACATCAACCCGTGTATATGCCTCACTGCTGGGCATGGGCGTTTTGTGGCTTTTGAAGTTGGTTGAATTTTTTTAAAAGTTTATTTTCATTTGTGTTGCTATCATCGAGTATATAACCAGAAATAGAGACGAAATAAGGGCCATCCCTGGCAACTCATCAGTCAAATGGTACTGATATCATTTTTAAATATCAACTCTCGTTTATGCTGAAATCACAAATTAGAAAGCTGAAATAGTACAGCGCTAACAACTGACCTGTGTGATCGTCTCAGTATATTCCAAAAATATTAATTAATTATAAAGATAATATCTCTAACAATGGGGGGCTGTTCCATTCGGTGGTGTGGGAATAACAGCATAACATCTAATTACAAAACAAACGGAATAACATTTCATAATAAGGTAATTAAATATTAGATATGTAATTTTCCAATTTTCGTCCAATTTTCGTCGATTTGAAGTGAAACAATTGACGACAACCGTCAATTGTTTCTAATTCGGGCTGGCCAATCGGAGCGCAGTCACCCTTATGATATGGCAGCATAGTTTTTTAACAAATTAAATGACATTTCGTCTCTATTTCTGGTTAAATAGGTACTCGATGGTTGCTATCATCAAAAAAACCTTCGATTTACACTTAATTATACATATAATATCAGAAAGTGAAAATTGGATTTTGCTATTATTGCCCACGGTAAATTTACTGGCATTCCCTAATCATCATCTATCTACCCATTTATAGTTCCACTGCTGGTCATGTCTCAGACGAGGGCTTAGACCTTAGGAGTTATGAACCTTCTTCGACGTGCAGGTTTCATCACGATGCTTTCCTTCACCGAAAAGCTTATAGTAAAATTTAGAAATGCGAAGCAGGATCCGAACTTACGACCTTCTGTTCGTGAGCCGTTAGGTCAAACCATTAGGCTACTAGGGCTTCCCTTAAAAACTTTAGGGAATGTTAATAACACGTTGATAATATAATTTTAATAATATGTGCCAGACTACCACATCAATTTTGGTCTCAAACTAGTGAATTCCCTGTACTATGAGTACCAGAGCAACAGATCAGAACATTTCCCAAATTGGTTCTACCGGGAGTCGAACCCGGAACTTCCGCATCCAGCGGCCACAATGTACAACCAAGCCACCGAGGTCGTCAACACTTGTTGTTAATAGTACTGTATAATAAAACTGTCAGCGATTAAATCACACGTAATGTATTTCGCTTGTAGCAGGAAAGCGCAAGGAGGAAAATGAAGAGGGAGATCGTCTTCATTTTCCAGACACCTCGTGCCTTTCCGGTTGCAGTATAAAACGTGTTTTGTATATGCCAAATGCCCAGCCGGCTTATGTTCAGATGCCTGAGTATAAATTAACTACCGCGTTTGCGTTAAGATTTTTATTTAGACAGATCTAAATTAAAATCTTAACGCAAACGCGATAGTTAAGTTTACATATTTGAAAACTTACACAAAGGCCCCAGAACAATTTAATAATTAATAATAATAATAACGCACACGCTCAACTTAGACCCAGTGTCGCGGGTGCTATGAACACACATATAAACAACCACAAAATACACCCAAACTCACGAGAGAAACAAATGTAGGCCATACAAATATTTCTCCTGGCCTGGGAATCGAACCTGGGTCCTCTGCGTGGCAATCCGGCATGGTAACCGTTCGGCCACGGAGGCAGTTGTTATAACTTTTTTATGAAAAAAACCGGTCTCAAAAGTTTAGTTATCGGTTTCGCAGTGTTCTTCTTTGTCTATGAGCCAAGTTTCATTGAAATCGATTAACGGAAAGTGGGTGAAACCGAAATCCATGATAGCTTACAGAGAGTTTCTGGGGCTTTCCATTATAATTATAAAATTGTATAATTTTTGTTTTTGCAACGTTAACTTTCAGGTTATTTCGCTTGAGCCAGTCAATAATATTACATATAGTGTAATTTATTTCTTTTTCATAGTCTATGCCAAAATTCTTATTAATAATTATTGATATGTCATCTGCTGCATCTGCATTTAGCACTTCAGGGCGGTCATTAACATATAATAGAAAAAGCAATGGACCTAAAATACTACCCAGAAGCACACCGTATTTATTTAGTTTCAATTCTGATCTGTGAGGTTCTATTTAATTTTTATTATTTAGCTTTACCACTTCCACACACTGAGTTCCATTACTAAGGTAACTTGCTATCCAGCTATGCACCTGTCCACGAAGACCATATCTTTCTAACGTAGATAGTACAGTTCTATGGCAAACGTTATCAAAGGTTCTACTCATGTCAAACAAAACAGAACAAACAGGTACAAAAAGTACCGGCAAGTATCGGCAAAAGTTGGGATATCCTTAATAACGCTGAAACATGTCTGTGTGATACATTTTTCATTCTGAAAGCTAAATTGCTCTGCTTTAATGATGTTATACTATGACCGGAAAGACGTCATTGAAGAACTTGTGCTCAGTAATTGAATGAGTAATGGGTCGAGGATGATTCAAACGAAACAAGTTCAGTTATTTACTCCATAAGCGTGACCAATCTTCAGTCGATAGTCGATAGAATATGTATCGATTGCAATCATTAGCTGCTGCTCGCAAGCGTCTGTCATTTTATTCCGTCTTCAAAAAAGACAGACTATAAGTGTATAGTTGTACTACTTATTGTACAGTATACGCCACGCCAGGATTTACACTTGAGTTTTAATTTTTACTATAAGCGGTAAACGCTAGATTATTTGCAATAATAATAAAGACCTTGCTTGCCCACCCTTCTGAGCAACAGAATTGGACGGTATTCTGATGGTGACTTTGCGGACCGTCCTTTCTTCCGTAGTAGACCTATGTTTCCTGGACGCCGCCTTTGGTCTCGCTCCAGGAAGGAGTCGAATGCAGGACTTACTAAATAAAACATAACTAATGCCTAGGTTAAAGTTATATGAGATCTTTCAAAGTATTTTATAATTATTTTATTTTAAAGACCTACACTTTCAAGTTTTTTTTTAATTTGACCATTGGCAAATTTTTGTTTCGCTGCAAACCGGTTTCGCGTCGATAGATATGTGGTGACTCCATTGAAGGGTCTATCAAACAGAAACTCCCTAAACCACAAGACCCTGTGTCCGATGCAAGAGCAAAGGGTTTAGGAATTGTCGATTTTTGCCTATAGTAAGTTTGAATATGTTGTATTTTTCCTTAATTATTGATAATAATCATTAAATACTATAAAAAGTTTAATCTATATATATTTTTATTATTTATTTTCATTAAATAAAATATAAAGATAAATCTATCTTGGTTTATTATACCTCTCTGTTAAGATTTGAGTACTTATACGACTTTATCTTTTTTTACCTTTTATATTATAGCAAGGTCATCTATTTTTCTAACAATGTATTGTAGTCTGTAGATTTTATGTAATGCGATTCCGATACACAGGTCTTATATAACAAGTATGGCTAGACAGAGGATTGCCTTACAGTTTTCAGTGCTTAATATATCGAGTATATAACCAACCAAAATAGAGACGAAATGTCATTTAATTTGTTTGAAAACTATTCTGCCATATCTTAACGGTGACAACTGCGCTCCGATTGGCCAGCCCGAATTTGAAACAATTTACGGGTGTCGTCAATTGTTTACTTCAAATCGATCAGTTTAACTTGAGCATTGCTATAATGGACGAAAATTGAAAAATTATGCAATTTAATACTTAATTACCGATGAAATGTGATTCCGTTTGTTTTGTAATTAGATATTTGCTGTTTTTCCCACACCACCGAATGGGAGAGCCCCACATAGTTAGAGATGTTATTACAATAAGTACGGAACATTTTTGGAATATACGGAGACGTACACACATGTCAGGTGCTGGCGCTGTACTACGCGAGGCGCACTATAAGTTTCCGGAATGAATAAGAAAAAATACTATAAATGGTCAGAAATGAATTTATTGCTTCTCAAAATATTCTACGTTAGCGTTAATGCACTGTTTCATATTTCATTTCATAAAAATTAGTTCATATTTTTAAAACATTTGTGCCACTCCTCCGTAACAATCTATGAAACATATTTTTCATACTCTTCGACAGCCTCTTCAGGTGATGAAAATCGTTGACCGCGTAACTGGTTTTTAATTTTTGGAAATAAATAAAAGTCACAAGGTGCCAGGTCAGGACTGTACGCGGGATGGCTCATAAGGTCAACGTTGAAAGGTGAACACACCTTCAAAAATTAATTTGCCTATCTGGCCGTGTGAGAACTGGCATTGTCGTGGTGCGAGATGATACGGTGTATACGGTTATTTTTACGGAGTTTGTGAATAACTTCCGGCAAACAAATGGTCGTGTACCAATCACTATTCACGGTACAACGATTGTCCAAAGCAACAGTAGTCACGTGTCCAGTTTTATTAAAAAATGAAGCAGTCATCCGCTTAGAGGCACTTTGCATGCGCGCCACTTTGGTTGGTTTCGCCTCATTTCGAAAGACCCATACGCTCGATTGCTGCTTTGTTTTGGGATCGTAACTATAAATCCATATTTCGTCACCTGTTACTATGTCCCACACCAAATTTGACGCCCCTTCGTTGAATCTGGTAAGCATGACATTGCACCAAGTGACGCGATCAGTTTTTTGAGCCTCAGTAAAATTGTGTGAGATCCATCGAGGGCACAGCTTTTTTACACCCAAATGTTTGTGTAGTATTAATTGTATTTGACTCATGACTATGCCTAAAGATGCCCGAATCTCATTGTATGTCACATGCCTGTCTGTTTTGATCATACGGTGCACAGCATCGATGTTTTTGTTGTTTACGGTAGTGGACGGGCGACTATCACGAAATTCGTCACTGAAATTCACACGACCGCGTTTGAATTCTGCAAATCAGCTATGAACAGTCGTCTGTGCATGGTGCTTCATCGCCAAACGCAGTTTGAAACCGAGCGAAGCTCCGCTGAGCTGTTACGTTACATTTAAAGTCGTAGAAAATCATACTACGAAAATTTTCACGAGTTAAATCCATGGTGATGTAGACAACCAATTTCTAAAATGACGCCACAATGTAAAAACAAGTGACAGTCAGATGAAACAAACTGTGTTCTACAGGCAAAGAGTTCCATTTTGAAATGTTGTAATAATTTTTAAAATATTGTTTATGTAAGTGGCCGGTTCTGGAAACTTATAGTGCGCCCTATGTAGTTCAGTTTTCTGATTTGTGATCTCAGCGATCTCAGTTGATATTTTATTTCAGTATCATTGACTGATGACTTGCCAGGGATGGATGGCCCTTATTTCGTCTGTATTACTTGTCATATACTCGATGGCTTAATATTATATGTCAAGAGCATACATATAGAGCTAGCTTGACAATCTTTAGACCGTTCTTATTGTAAGCGTCATAGAGTTGAATTTAAATTTTAAGTGTCAAATTCAACGTCCTTTTGACCATGTTCTAAATTAAAGGGTCACTCTGTTGTTATCACAATTTCAAAGTTTTACTGAAACAAAATACCCACTTCCGATACCTGTAATGAGCAAGCAGCTCTACTTATTATCTACGGTATCACCGTAACTTTTTACAATTTATTTACTGCACCTACTTCATTCAGTCGTAATCGTAAAAAATAAATGCATTTATTATTAGAAAAAAACTAAGTCAGTACTTTTCATTACGTCAGTGTGATACTGTAGTTAAGTAGGAAACATTAAATTCCAAAAAGAATTCTCTAAAGTATTGTTACGTATTTGAAACGTATGATACTAATCTCTTAATGCTCTGTTTTAATTGGCTTTGTACTGGGTCAAGAACACTTGCAACTTGACACTTAATATTTAAAATCGTCTCTGTAGAGTTTCACTGTTTACGATAGAAACGGACCCATGTCCAAAGTGACGAAGTTAACAAAGTATGTATGTTATGTATATGTATTCTGTGAGTATTGCCTATGGAGGAACTAGCCGAAAAATTCGTTTAAGCTGGATAATTTCCGACAAACTGCGTAATTTTTCCGTCATTCCTTCCATAACAGCGGAAAACAAAGTTTCAA